TCGCTTACTCAAATCGTACTGAAATAAAGTTAGTTGGTAAAATTCCTTATCTCGCTCATACTCACCGTAACTAGTGTAGGTTGGGTCGAAGGGTTTGACGGCGGTCTGGGTTGCACTTCTCGGGCGAGTCTTTCCTTTAATATCGCTTTGAGACCATTCATCAACTTGTCACCTTGACTTTTCAATTCAGCACTAAAACCGTTGTCGAAAGCTAACGATATTTGGCTTGTGGCCCGCCGTAGAGGATCGTATATCTAAAACAATAAATCAGTCATTCCTGGCTAAATGAATGAGTAGAAAACATAAACAACAACAGCCTCAGTTCTCGAATATGTCAGCGCTCTTCGGATATCCTCTGAGCTCGAATAAGATCGCGTTTAGTATTTTAATTACAATGACATCATTGGCCGTAAAAAAATGAAAATTCGACGAAATAGATCACCTGGCTTGTATTTCCAGCGGACTTCTGCAGAGAGTCGAAGCTGGGTACACGAGCAATCGGGCTTATTTCACGACATACTCTCGATGAAGATTTGTTACGAGTCAATCGCCTCTTCACCATCGTTCCATCCTGAGGTTGTGGCAAAGCGATAGGCGTTCGAATACTGCGAACAATCGGTTGCTGCCTCCTTGACAAATTTTTGAACAACGGCTCGCTGTCGTCAAGGACCACTGTGGGAAATGCGGTTGCTGACTCTATGGGAGCAACCGATCGCTCCGAACTGATCACAGAACACGGTTGAAGTTCACATTCATCGCTGGGGCGTCCTTTCTTTGTTACACAGGACTGAAATGAGTAAATTGGTAGGAAAGAACAAATACGTCTCTATGTTTCAATCAATATTCGCATGAAATGTTTTACTACGTGCTATAACGGAACAGCGCTCCAACCGAGTAATACTTTTGTGAACTCTACGACCATGTTAATGGGGTACTAAAAATTCAGAATATGGCTTTTTTTTGGCAAATAGTAACGGATACGGAAACGGTTATTTTTGATGCACTTTCTCAAAGGTTTCCAAGATAAAAGAAGAAAAATTGCATTCATCACCCTGTGTAGGGGTATAGGAGGGAAAAAACATTACTCACCCCATCTATAGAACAAATCCACCGTTCTCCATCATCGTCAAATTTTAGCGATTCATCGTGTACCGGTGAAAGTCCATAGCCCTCATCAGCTTCCTCTAGGTGAGCATCCTCGCCCATCTTCTGAACAGAGAAAATCTGATCAAAATATAGTAGAGCCAAAAAATCAACGACCACCCGATTTAAACAGCTGAATGGTACCATCACGGACATCATTAAGCTCTACAAC